AAATTGTGCTAATTTTATTTGATTGAATTTAAAAAATGCCTCTAATAAAACTAAAATATAAAATATTAACTCTCATTTAAATACCTGTAATAAAACTAACATATAAAATAATAACTCCATTCAAATAATGAAACATTAATTCAGTATCTCATTCAATTAATATCCAATCACCATTACCCACAAAATAACATTTCCAAAATCCAAAAATCATGTTTTAACATTAAAATCAAGAACAGGGGGAAGAACTTCCTCAACATCACCACCAACCCTGCCAAATGCCAATATTATACAAAGCTGTATTTATTGTATATGAATACGACCCACACAATTGAAAAAAAAAATCACAAAACAAAACCCACTTCAACAATTAAAGATCAGATTACATAAATATCATAAAAGACACATAAAAATCTAGAAAAAGTACGTTTTGGGCATGGATGGTGTTGGAGATGCCCTGGTTTCCATGGAAGAGAAAAATATATTATATCATTTTCCATAGAACTCAGAGATTCCCTCTAGAAAAACTAAAAACAGAGATTAACAAAACTAGACAGTTAATTTGAATGTTATTTTGGGGGGTGGTTTTAATTTGCAACCACTATACCTATACCTTCGCTATGTGCCAACAAACCTCAGCAATTGAAGCGGATTGAGTACTGTGAGATAGTTCACGAAGAAAGCGACCAAATTGGCGGACAGCAATAGAGATGGCTGGAACAACAGAGGAATTGTGGGCAGCTTCCTCGTCGATGGGCGACTCCTCCAGCTTCTCTTCTTCTGCTGAGTTCCTCTCTTTTTCTTCATCTGATAGTAACATTTCTTTGGGTTCCATGGTGTCCGATTCAGAAGGTAGTGGAGTGATAGTGTCTTGATTGACTGGTGAGAGCACAGCTTCATCAACAGTTGGAGTTATCTCTGGGGTTTCTTCTACAGGCCATTACTTGAGAATCTGATGGTAAAATTAGAAAGTCCATTACCTGAAGGGAAATTAGCAGCAGCAGCACGAGGATCAAAGTTGTTGCTTTGCTTTGCTACCATCATGTTATCTCAAGTCGTGCAAGGCTTACGAAACTTGATCATATTGAAAAGCATCCACATCACAGCCCAGACCATGAGCCAATCCTGGTTCTGAAAAAGTAATATTAACCAGACCATAACTATATATGTAAATAGATATGTGTTGGGTTGGGGCAGGTCACCTAGTTAAGTTCTCCACTGCCATTCTCATGCATTCCAAGCACAAATAGTGAATTGAGAGAGACAGAGAGAGCGAGAGAGAGAGAACGAACGATAATAATGAATTGAGAGATATGTTTCCATTACAGCACTGAAATAGGCTTCGAAATGAAGAGTTTCAGAGAGAGACAGAGAGACGATGGAGCTCACCTTAGTAGACGATGGTGCAGATGGTGTTTTGGAGCTTCGAAATCGAAACCGCTCTGAGATGAAATCACTGAGATCGATCTGAATCTCTGTGAATGATAAGCTTTTAGAGAGGGTTGACACAGAGAGAGAAACCAAAAAAGTGAAGTGTTAGTTAATTGTGGTTAATTAAGAATGCAATTTACACAGCTTATTTTGCAAATTCTTCCACATGGAACCATACAGAGACTTTGCAGTGGATATAGAAATGAAGTAAACAAAGAAGCCAAACCAGTAATTCATAGGTTTAAAATCAAACATAAAGCAAAAGAGATTAGGATGTTTGCGATTAAATTAATAGAAATAGAGCAGGGTTTCAGTAATTCCGCTTCCTTCTCTTCTTCACCCTCCTCTGTTTTCCCTTCTTCTTTCACTTCACCTTTGTCTTCGACGTTAGCTATTTCTTCTTGTTTCTTGTCTTCTAGGGTTTCAGACGCCATCAAAATGAACTTCCAGAAAAGAGAGAGAGAGAGAGAGAGAGAGAGGGTGTGCTGTATGTATATGTATATAGAGAGATCAAAAAAGAACCTAACAGATCAATTCAACAATTCAACAATTCAACAAATATTGATGTATACAAATGTTATACATGCAGTAAAATTCGAGAGAGAGAGAGAGAGTATCGATTAAAGTTCAGTAAATGAGGATCAAGTCAGAATGCCTCTCTCTGAATCTCTGCAAATGAGGTTCAAGTAAGAATGCCTTCAAAACATTGATTTCATAGATCTAGAGAGAGAGAGAGAGACGGTGGAGCTGGCTACCTCGCCGGTGCAGATGACGGTGGCGATGGAGCTTCGAAATTGCTCTGAATCTCGAAATCCATCTGAATCTTCGAAATCGCTTCGAAATCGCTCTGAATCTTTGAAATCGCAGGTGCAGATGGAGCTTCGATGAAGAAATGTGTGCGTATACGGATTGAGAGAGAGAGAGAGATGTGTGCGTATTCAAGCTTCAAGAACAGCCGATTGATCTCCTCCGTCTTCTTCGTCGCTGAGAGAGAGAGAGAGATGTGCGCGAAATTGCTATCACACTTCGCACTCAGATTAAAAAATAAGATTAAAAAATAAGGGTTTCATAAAGGGGCGCGTGTAGCTACAGCATTCGGAGGCGCTTTTAAACGCCTTCAATTGGAAACGGTGCCGTTTTGGTTTTAAAAAATATGCGACGATTACAAAACGTCGTTAAAAATTAACAAACGTGACGTTTAATAAAACGTCGTTAATTAAACGCCGTTAATTGTCTTATTTCCTGTAGTGAAGGGGTGGTTTAGAATATTTTAAATAAGTGTATTTTTGACTTTTTATAAATAAATAAAAAATGTGTCAAAAAATTACAAAATAAGTAGAAAAGTAGAGATGAAATATTGATAGATGTGACCTAAATAAGTATACATATATAAAAAATTTATATCTTTTTAATGCATGCCAAACACGTACTAAGTGTGTTCAAATTATAATGTTGTAGTAATTTTTGATTGCTAAGAGAAGATTAGTGTAATTCATGTGCTTAACTTCTAGATTACGTGTATGAAGACCGCCGGCCGGAAGATCGGCCCACGTTGTTATTGACCACAGGTCCGTACGGAACGCCATTACAACTTTCAAAATAGTTGGCTTTTATAGCGATCCAGGTTTTACCCCGACCTTTATTATGTTCTGGACTCGGGTTCCGTGGTTGTATACTGTTGTCTATGTCTTGTTTCCTTCCTTTTACTCTTTGTATTTGAGTTTTGGGTCGTGTTGGGTGAGTTTGGAACAAGTTGGTTATGAGTTGATTCAAATGGTTGCTGCCCAGGTTTTGGATTCTTCGCTTGAGCGAGGCTTTTTGCGCTCGAGCGAGCCTTGGGTTTTTGCTTCTTTGCTCGAGCAAAGGTTCTTGTGCTTGAGCGAGGATTGAGAGTCCTCAGGTTTCTTCCTTAGACGCAGCTTTCGCTCGAGCGAGCACTCTTGCGCTCGAGCGAGACGTGTGTTATTTGATCCTTCGCTCGAGCAAGCACTCTTACGCTCGAGCAAGCACTCTTACGCTCGAGCATGCGTCTGCGTTGGTGGCAGACCTGAAACTTTGCATTGTGTACTCGAGCTACGCTTCTTGCGCTCAATCGAGGCCTTTTGTTGTGTCTGGTCGCTCGAGCGACAACTCCTTCACTCGAGCGAGCCTCGCATATATCAGTTCGCAGCAACGTGATTTTATATCACTTTTCGCTTTCTTCTTCTCTAAAAACCCTAATCCGGCTGCCTCTCTCTCTAAAACTCTCTATCTCTCTACAAATACTCCTTGTTCTAGGGTCATTCTACCCTACTCCCTTTGTTAAAAAGCTTGAGCATTGCGTGGGCTTCCATTTGATCCGAAAAAAGTGGGATTTGGAGCATCTTTGGGTTTCTCTCTTCTTCTCCTTTGAGCTTATCCATTTGAGGTAGGGATAAACTACTCTTTATTATGAGTTTTAACCTAGATATGTGTCATTTTGTATAAATGGTTAGATTTGGGAAGTTTGGGTGAAGTTAGGATTTGGGTGTTGATTTGTGAAAGAGGGGTTTTCAATTTTGAACTCCATATGTGTATGTGGGGTCTTAAAAATGGGGTTATTAGGGAATAATTGTTGAAATGGTGAGATTTAGACCTTTGAGTTAATGTTTTGGAATTGGGGGGAAATGCTCTAATGTGAATTAAAGAAATTATTTGTATAAATAATGAAATCAATGTGGAAATATGAAATTGGTTTTGGAATTATGAAATTAGGGGAAAATGTGATTAAAAAGTGTAGTTGGATTGATATATCACACACCTATGGAAAAGTTGATAAATTATCTATTGATAGATTTAATTATCTGTTTAGAAATATCTGTTTTGGGCTATCGGTGGAGGATAGCTATGATTGTTGTAGAAAATGCATGAGGATTAGGGAAATTGAAACTAATCAATCGGATTATGTCATTGAATATAAAGGTTGGATTAAACCATTGAATGTGTGATCTGATTGGTCATTGTATATGACAACGTGTTTAAATACATTGTATATGTATCTTTGTTTGGGAGGAGATAGAGGATGTACTCCATTGTATGGAAGGAGATAGGGGATGGACTCCATTGATAATTAAGTTGGCCAGAGTGTCCAGGGTGAAAATTCCGAAATTTTATATATTATGGGTGCGCAGTTTCGTAAAATGGCAAGAAATAGAGGTGTTGAAATGATGGATGTATTAAATTGTGAACCATTGAGTTTTAGTCTCATCTTGGTTGTTTTGATAAAAACGAATTTGGTTAATTGATTTTATCCGAAACGAAAGAATGGAAATGAGTTGAAATGTTGGTTAACTACATTGAATGAAATCAAAAGAAATGTGTCTGTTAAGAATATCCCTTATTTATCTGATGCTCATATTTGGTTTAGCATATCTCTACTGGGTTTTGGCTCACCCTACTTGGGACACCATTTTCAGGTACAGGTGACATGCCGCCTCCAAGGTCTTAGCTTGGGAGGTTTAGAAGTTGAAGGCTCTGTTTTGTTGTTACATCTTGTGTATATATGTTTTCTTTTCAAGCCAAGGACTCTAATTGTAAAAGAGTTAGAACTCTTCTTTTGTTGTAACTAAGTGATAACTTGGAAAGCTGTAAGTCCGTAGGGCATTATTTTGTTGTTATCAATTAGGAACAATTATGAATGTGTAATGTACGTAATACACTTTGTAAAAAAGACTTTGATGAATGAAAATATATTATTTCTATTATGCTTATAGACTTAATGAATGAATGATTTAAGTCTTATTTTGAGGGCTTCATAACTTGGTATCAGAGCGTACTAGGTTTGAATACTTTGGGACGTGGGAAGTGGTTAGTACCACAATGGGTTTGTCTCGCTTGTTAGAGACTTAAGTATGGTGTTATGTGCTTGTATAATAGCATGTTTATGTGACTATATGGGTAAGGGATTTAGTTTCTAGGATGTTGATCGAGTCCATGGGTTTCTAGAAGTCCTGTTGGAAAGGCACTTGATCACTGCCGTTTCTAACTGGAACTCTAGCGACGCCACGGGACGGTCATTATCCGGAAATGAAATTCGTATGTGTTTATGTGCTTATGTGGAGTGAATTACAGTTGTCCATCGTATTAGGACGCAAGTGAAATAGCTTCGGCACATTTGAAAATGTGCTAATCTCTTTATTACCTTTATTAGGATGTCATGACGAGGTCGTGGTGGTAGGCATGGTAGGCCTAGGAGGCAGGAGATGCCTATACCGGATGAAATTTCGGCGCAGGAGAAGGGAGTCAGTCAGGCCAACGTGGCCAAGCCACTAGGACAGCAGGCCATGGGTGCCTTAGCCCGTGAAATGGCTGAAGCATTGAGGGAATCTATGGACATTCTTAGGGTTGAAAATCAAGTCAGGCCCAAGTAGCTGAGGTAGGGCCATCTTTTCTTAAAAGGGAGTTCTTCCGGTCGAATCCGGATGAATTTTTGGGTGATTCTAAGGAGCCACTGAAGACTGATGAGTGGCTTGAGCAGATGATGAAGACGTTTGAGATGCTTGGCATCGAAGACGGAGGTTTGAGGGTGACCTTGGCGTCCTTCCAACTGAAGGGAGACACGGGTCAGTGATGGAAGTATGCGTGGGGGCGCATTGGAGGGACTTAGGAGGCCTTTGTTGAAGCTTTCCAGGACAAGTACCTGCCTGCTACAGTGAGGAAGAAGTTAATGATCAGTTCTCCAAATTGGTGCAGCTGAATACACCAGTGGCAGAATTCAAGGCCACCTTTACTAGCCTGTCGAGGTTTACACCAGAGTTGATGCCTGCTACAGTGAGGAACAAGTTAAAGATCAGTTCTCCAAATTGGTGCAGCTGAATACACCAGTGGCAGAGTTCGAGGCCACCTTTACTAGCCTGTTGAGGTTTACACCAGAGTTGATGGCGACCGAGGAGCGTAGGTGTTTGGAGTTTGAGAAGAGATTGAGGATCGGACTCATGTTCAGAGTTGCTGGGTCCATGATTAGGGACTATGGGCGCCTTGTGGAGGCTGCAACCCATCTTGAGACTATCATGCATGTAAAGAAGGAGAGGATGAGGGGCTCTAAGAGAAATCAGGATGGTCAGGGAAATGGTAAGAGGCAGAGGGGCTCTAACACTCAGCAGTCCCAAGGAGCGCATTCGAGATCCACCTTTCCAGTGCCGAGTTTGAGTTCTGAAAGAGGCAGTCAGGGAGACATCACTTGTTACAAATGTGATCAGTTGGGCCACAAGTCTCCAGGTTGCCCACAGAGGAAAAGAGGGCAGTGAGCAACAGCATCTTTGGCTCGTTCTCATGCCAGAGGCCAGCCGCTCACTTGTTATCAGTGTGGGCAGGCGGGGCACCTGAAGAGGTTTTGCCCGCAGTTGGGTGGTACACTTGGTGCATCTGGTTCGAGGTAGATATAGAGTCACCAGCCAGCACATTCAGCTCAGGCCTCGAGGGCCAATCAGGGAGCCTCTTCGGCTCAGTCAGTGTAGCAGTCTTATGCTCCGAGAGTTAAGCAGGTAGATTAGAGACCTACAGGGCGCGTGTATGCTGTTACAGCGCCGGATCTTGTACAGGCCCCATCTATTGTGAGAGGTACCTTTTTGTTTTGTAACTCAGTTGCTAATGTGTTGATTGATACGGGTGCATCCCATTCCTTTATATCTTCTGCATGTGTATCTGTTCTGGGGTTGGAGTTGGCGCAGTTATGTAGCTCGCCCAAACTTCCTCCGCAAGCCCCCCTTTCGCAGAGGGCCCGAATTAGGTCCTGCTACAGTTTGGACTCCTATCACTGTTCTGAATCTCATTTCACAAAATGCAATGTGAGACTGATAAAGAGTCCAATCCGTCAAATCTTTTTGGAAAATCAGATTTTGAATCAAATAATGCCAAAACTGGACTACTTTGCTAGATTATAGAGTCGCCACCTAAATATTTTATTTTTGAAAAATTTGGGAAACCTTGACTCGTGCCAAAGGCCACGTGTCCGTCATCACCAAAGTTGCCTCGGCTCGGGAACTTAGGTACGAGAGGGGAAGGTCCTTAAACGATCACCCCCGTTCGCCCCGATCGAAGGATCGACCTCTACTAA